CCCATGCTCCCCCCTACATTATGTCTGCTAATTGTAATGCCCCTTTTTCCCCCTTGTCCCTCCCTTCCCACCCATCCTCCCCAGTCCCTTTCCCTTTGGGAACTGTTAGTCCATTCTTGGGTTCTGTGTTTCTGCTGCTGTTTTGTTCCTTCAGTTTTTTTCTCTGTTCTTATACTCCACAGATGAGTGAAATCATTTGATACTTGTCTTTTTCTGCCTGGCTTATTTCACTGAGCATAATACCCTCTAGCTCCATCCATATTGTTGTAAAAGTTAGGATTTGTTTTCTTCTTATAGCTGAGTAATATTCCATTGTGTATATGTATCACATCTTCTTTATCCATTCGTCTACTGATGGACACTGCTTGCTTCCCTTTCTTGGCTATTGTAAATGGTGCTGTGAGAAACATAGGGGTGCATATGTCTTTTTCCAACTGGGCTGCTGCATTCTTAGGGTAAATTCCTAGAAGTGGAATTCCTGGGTCAAATGGTATTTCTATTTTGAGTTTTTTGAGGAACCTCCATACTGCTTTCCACAATGTTTGAACTAATTTGCATTCCCACCAGCAGTGTAGGAGGGTTCCCCTTTCTCCACATCCTCGCCAGCATGTGTTATTTGTCTTTTGGATATTGGCCAACCTAACTGGTGTGAGGTGATATCTCATTGTGGTTTTAATTTGCATCTCTCTGATGATTAGTGATGTGGAGCATCTTTTCATGTGCCTGTTGGCCATCTGAATTTCTTCTTTGAAGAAGTGTCTGTTCAGCTCCTCTGCCCATTTTTTAATTGGATTATTTGCTTTTTGTTAGTTGAAGTGTGTGAGCTCTTTATATATTTTGGATGTCAAACCTTTATTGGATATATCATTTATGTATATATTTTCCCATACTGTGGGATGCTTTTTGTTCTACTGATGGTTTCTTTGGTTTACAGAAGCTTTTTAGTTTGATGTAGTCCCCCTTGTTCATTTTTGCTTTTGTTTCCCCACCTTATTCTTACTCATTCTTCAGATCTTTACCTATATGTCATTTTTTAGGAAAGACTGTTGCTATTAGCTTTAAAATATCAGTTTTTCTGTTCCTACTTTGAAAAGTAACAAGTGTTCATTATAGCAAATTTGAAAAATGAAGAATGGTACCTACAAGGAAACCAGAGGATAAGCATTTAATGTTGCAGAGACATATAATACCAGTTTGCTGTTTGGTCCTTTGTTCCTTATTTGCTTTACGTGTTTGGAAGCCTGCAGAACTATTTCCTTCACATTTGAAATCAAAGGATATTTGAAATTTAAAATTTAAAATTTAAAATGGTCATATTTGACATTGCCAGGGTATATTCAGACTCGTTTATTGTCATTTGTTCTTCAAATGTAGGCCCTCACATCTATAGACAGATGTTCAGATGTTTTCCTCTTCCAGTTCAGGAATGTTTTCTTTTGTGCATGGAATATGGTTTGTTTCTCTAGCCATAATATTATAATCTAGGGTGGATTCTTAATTATCTCTATTTTAAGTTACTCTTTATTTTTCTCTATTGTTTTCTTCCCACCTACTCCCTTTTATGTTGAATACTGATATAACATCTGAACTGTGTCTTCTATATCATGGTTACAGTTTTCTGCAGTGGTATTTCATTGCTCAGTTGCTTCCAGTTATGTTAATTAATGTTTTTTTCTTTGCAGTTTTTTCTTATGCTCATCTTTTAATCTCAGTCTAGTCTCACTTTCTTGTTCTTTGTTCCAGTGTTATAATAAAGTGCCTGAACAGTGGGTGTTCAAATATCTGACTAAGTGAGTGAGTATATGAGTAAACAAAACCCAGATCTTGGTTGGTATGTCCTATGGAGACCATTAAAATATTTCTCTAGGAATGTGTTCTTTAAAAAAAAAACAGTCACATCGAGGAGTAATTTATATACCATAAAACATAGTCATTGTAAGGGTACAAGTCAATCATTTTTAGTAGATTATTTATAGAGTTGTGCAACTTTGACAACAGTCCAGTTTTAGAACCTTTCTCCTACTGAAATCCCCTTGTGCCTGTTTGCCATTAAATTCTTCTTTCCAACCATTTCTGTCTCTATAAATTTGCCTTATGTGGAAATTTCATGCTAATGTAGGTGTCCAGGTACACACATCATTCATAGTTGTCTTCATGTTTAAGCATGGCTTTCTGGGGGTTACTACCCTGTGGTATAGCTTAGTGGACAGTGGTTGTGTTCAAACATCTTGAGCCAATAAGACTTATCTTCTGCCAGTGGGATCTGCATGTGGGTAGAAGAGCACACTCATAAGTTCAGGCCATTTTCAAATCTTCCTTGGTGCTTACTTTCCTCTCAGTCCTTTCATGTCTCTTCTTTGCAGATGTGCAGCCTCAAGATTAGCCATGAGTTTGTAACCAAAAGTATAACCTTAGCTTATTGGAGCTGTTTGCTCTACGTGTTCATCTGCCACCTTGAACATCACTTACACTGCCAGCACAGCTGGGCATATGTGTTTCCACCATTCCAAATTGAGCAGTTGCCCTTTGATCCTGACAGCAAAGCTACCAGTCCTTGTTCTGTCCTGCCTCGTTCTGCACGCCAAACCTCTGTATCTGCTAAGTGTGTGGATGTTGGGGTGAGAGTAGTCTCAGGCAAGAACACCACATACTGTCACTCAACATACAGCAGTTTTTTAAACAAATGTGCTACCTGGGTTGTTGTACTCCTTGGTCAATTTCCAGAAGACTGAAAGATTTGCCTTATGTGGAAATTTCATGCTAATGTAGGTGTCCAGGTACACACATCATTCATAGTTGTCTTCATGTTTAAGCATGGCTTTCTGGGGGTTACTACCCTGTGGTATAGCTTAGTGGACAGTGGTTGTGTTCAAACATCTTGAGCCAATAAGACTTATCTTCTGCCAGTGGGATCTGCATGTGGGTAGAAGAGCACACTCATAAGTTCAGGCCATTTTCAAATCTTCCTTGGTGCTTACTTTCCTCTCAGTCCTTTCATGTCTCTTCTTTGCAGATGTGCAGCCTCAAGATTAGCCATGAGTTTGTAACCAAAAGTATAACCTTAGCTTATTGGAGCTGTTTGCTCTACGTGTTCATCTGCCACCTTGAACATCACTTACACTGCCAGCACAGCTGGGCATATGTGTTTCCACCATTCCAAATTGAGCAGTTGCCCTTTGATCCTGACAGCAAAGCTACCAGTCCTTGTTCTGTCCTGCCTCGTTCTGCACGCCAAACCTCTGTATCTGCTAAGTGTGTGGATGTTGGGGTGAGAGTAGTCTCAGGCAAGAACACCACATACTGTCACTCAACATACAGCAGTTTTTTAAACAAATGTGCTACCTGGGTTGTTGTACTCCTTGGTCAATTTCCAGAAGACTGAAAGGGTTGTTTTGTCAATTTCATCACAGCTTTATTATAATTGTTTTATGGGGAGAATTACCCACCTTCTCATTAGTCCACAGCTAAATATCCTGCCTCTCAGAATATATTCTTTTTCCAGTGTAGTCAGTCATTTCCCCAGGTATACTTACTGTTAGGATATTATGTGTATATATGAGGGAAAGAGAGTTTTTAAGGAATTGGCTCATATAATTGTGGAACTGGCATTTCTGAAATCTGCAGGGCTGTCCAGCAAGGTAAGTTTTGATGTTAGCTTTGAGTCCAGATTCTGCAGGGCAGCAGGCTGAAAACTCAGACAGGATTTCTATGTTGCAGTCCTGAGGAGAAATCCTTTTTCTTCGGGAAACCTGCCTTTTTACTTAAGGACTTCAATTATGGGATGAGGCCCACCTGTGTTATAGAGGGTAATCTGCTTTAGTCAGTCTGTTGATTTAATTGTTAATCACATCTAAATAATAGCTTCATAGCAACATCTAGACTAATGTTAGACCAAACCCTGGGCACCATAGCCTAGCCAAGTTGACACTTAAAATTAACCATCACACTTGCCCTCTGAGGATTCAAGGTGAATTTTTTTAGTCTAGGTATAGTCTGATTGCTGTCTGCTTCATAGTATGTATTCTTGTTATAGTTAAACTAGTAGTTCCATATTATGTATGTTTTACATATGCATAGTGTGTATATTTTCTGTACTATGTTTTACGTATATGCCTCTGCTTTTACATGTCCACATCTTTGATCATAGTGTATCTTTAGCTTGCAGTGCTCTTTGTGTGTCCAAATATTATTTGTCCTTCTGAAGGCTAGATCACAGGCACACAATTTTCTTTGCACCCTATACACCAGCTCTCCTGAACCTATTTCTTGTCACCTAGTTGTGCTGTGTTCTGTCATGCCATTGTGCTGTAGTTCCTATTGTGGAGCATACTCCTCCCTCTTATTTTCTATAAGCCTTTTACAGCTTCCTCAGATAGACTTATATGCTCCCATTGTCCCCTTTGCTTCGTTTATTGAGGCACTGGTCACATTTTCTTACTGTGCATATCTGTCTGTCCATGAGACTTTCTTTCCTGAGAGGAGGGGTCACTACACTGCTGGTTATTCAAAGTTCATCCTCAGCCAAGCCCAAGTATCTGGTCTGTCATATCTCAGCAATTTGTGGGATGAATAAACTGCATCTGTATTAAAGATCAGGAAATTGTGTGTTTCTTCTTGTAATTTCTCTTTATGGTAGAAGGTAGAAATAATGACTTTCTGAGGATGAAGCAAATACAAATACCAGAGATGAATGAGCCTGTGTTTAGACTCCAAGCATACTTAGGCATATTAAATATTTGCTTGATTCATTGAAAGAGTTTTATTTTTCCGTTCTGTGCAAGGTATATAGCTTCAGAATTGTTACATTACTAAAAATTGTTTCTGATTAGAAGTGTTGATTTCTTTTTACTTGCATTTATTTATATGTGTGTTGTAAGAATATCAAAGCATCTAAGACTGTTTTAGCTTCTTTCTAGCTAAAATATAGTGGTGATAACTGGTTACTGATTTGTTAACAATCTTAAAGTGATTATAAAATAACTTTTTCCTTTTCCTATCAGATGTTGATCACCTTTCTGAAGTAGAATCTCCATGGCCTGAACATTTTCTGAAAACTGTTTTGAGCATAATACCTGTTTAATAGCAAGATAACCAGATCAAGATGGTTGGAAAACTGAAGCAGAACTTACTATTGGCATGTCTGGTGATTAGTTCTGTGACTGTGTTTTACTTGGGCCAACATGCCATGGAATGCCATCATCAAATAGAGGAACGTAGCCAACCCTTCAAATTGGAGAGTACAAAGACCACTGTGCGAACTGGCCTGGACATCAAAGCCAATAAAACCTTTGCCTACCACAAAGATATGCCTTTAATATTTATTGGAGGTGTGCCTCGGAGTGGAACTACGCTCATGAGGGCCATGCTAGATGCACACCCTGATATTCGCTGTGGAGAGGAAACTAGGGTTATTCCCCGGATCCTGGCCCTGAAACAGATGTGGTCACGGTCGAGTAAAGAGAAAATACGCTTGGATGAGGCTGGTGTCACTGATGAAGTGCTGGATTCTGCCATGCAAGCTTTCTTACTGGAAATCATTGTGAAGCATGGGGAGCCAGCCCCTCATTTATGTAATAAAGATCCTTTTGCCCTGAAATCCTTAACTTACCTTGCTAGGTTATTCCCCAATGCCAAATTTCTCCTGATGGTCCGAGATGGCCGGGCATCAGTACATTCAATGATTTCTCGAAAAGTTACTATAGCTGGGTTTGACCTGAACAGCTATAGGGACTGTTTGACCAAGTGGAATCGTGCCATAGAGACCATGTATAACCAGTGTATGGAGGTTGGTTATAAAAAATGCATGTTAGTTCACTATGAACAACTTGTCCTACACCCTGAACGGTGGATGAGAACACTCTTAAAGTTCCTTCATATTCCGTGGAACCACTCAGTATTGCACCATGAAGAGATGATTGGGAAAGCTGGGGGAGTATCTCTGTCAAAGTGAGTAGATGCTGGTTTGTTTTGTTTTTTTTGACTTTATATTCAGCTAGTGAAGGGGTGTATGTGTGTGTGAAAACTACAGACCTTTTCTTGAACAGATATGCTTCATCAGTGAGTATTTAAAAAATTCTCTAGGTAGTTAATTATAGACCCTTTCATTTATTTTGTTCATTTGTTTCTTTATGAATTATGTTAATTTATTTGCAGAAGGCAAACCCAGTTTATAGCAGCAAAAGGCTGTTTTCAGACTTTAGGCTTTAAGATATCCATCATTCAATTTTAGTGACTTCTGATTTCTAAGTTTTAGACTTTTTGTTATAAGGATAGTTGGCTTTTGTTTGGATTAAGATTAATATAAGGAAAAGCATCTAATGTGGATGAGAATGTAGTGAATTTCAAACATTTAGGAATTTTTGGTGATAGAATTATCTAATCCAATCCCTTCATTTTACAGATAGGAGAGCAGAGTCAGAAAGATCAAAATGATTTACTCAAATTTAGATGGCAAGGCCACAATTAGAATTAGCATCCATGCCTTGGTCTCAATCGGCTAGTGCTTTATTCCATTGCATTTTATTACATGTAGTGCTTTTTTGGTCATCTGATGGATATATCTTCTCTTGATTTTTACAAAAAGCTAGAGAACTCTGAAATTTGGAAGTTTAATCCATGTAAGAAGTTCCTTGGATTCAAATACTTGTTAAGTATTGCATTTTCCTTCTTTTTCATGAAGTGATGACTATGGTGCCCTGACTTGATCTGTTGACCTGACTTGATAACTTATATACCTAGAATGAGGATATAAAAATGGAAACTACTGTTAAATTCAGGTAACATCTCCTGGTTAAGAACTAAATTTTATTTTATTTTTTGTCTCTTTTTCCATTTATGAATATATATCCCCTGTAGAAAAAAGGAAAAACGGTACTTCCCTTGTGTGCCTTGCTTACTGCTACTGAGGAGTGTCTTCTTGATGTTTTTTCCCAATGCATAGAATTTGTACAGTAAATATTGATTTCTCATATAGATAATTTGAAAGGAATATCTACCTTTTGCACACAGCAGAAAGTTATTGATTATAAATTATTAGGTATCATTACTCCAGTGGCTTAAAGCTATTTTTACTGATTCAAAGAGAATTAAAGCTCTAGCTACTGTCATCAGTTTGTTGTTCTTTATAATAGACAATAAGTAATTTCTGATCACCTGTATTCCTAGATAAGTGTTTCACTATGTGTGTTTATATGTTGGTCCAGAGATTCTGATGCTAGTACCTTCTGTTAGTATAAAATAAGCCTTTTAGGCCCTCCAGTCTTTCCAAGTAGGGATTAAAGAGATAAGCTCAAGTTAAATTTTGGTGGAAATCAGTAAAAGATCAGTTTGCATGTATACTTACTGTGTTTGAGGCAAACCTGAAGACTGAAGAAACTCGTAGACACTTGGAATTAATAGATTTAAGAAGGGAAAGAGACTTTAGATTTACCACATGAAATAGAGACCCTGTGAGGTGTACTATGCTTTGTCAGGAATCACACATGGCAGAACCATGACTAGAATTTCCAATGCTTATTCCAAGACTCTTGCTACTATGTGAGTTTTTAAAAAGGTTAAGGTGTAGCATGTATAGTAAATGTGCATATGTTCAGTATCCAATCTGATGAATGTTTACATCTGTATGCAGTTGTGTAATTCCTTCCATATAAAGGTAAAGAAAATTACTAGCAACCAGGATGCCCCTTTGTGCTCCTCAATTAATATTCTCCTTAACCCAAAAGTAACCACTGTTTCAACCTCTATCACCAGCAATGATACGGGGTTCTATATGAAGTTCAAAAACAATCAGTCTTGCTTGTTTTGAAACTTCATACAAATGCAGTCATACCTGTTTGTTATCTTGTGCCTGGCTTCTTTCATTAAACATTGGATTCACTCATAATGTTGTAAACAGCAGAAGTTAATTCTTTTTGTTACTGTATAATATTCTACTATGTAATTACAACACAATTTATCCATTGTTCCGTTGATGGGCATTTGGTGTTTCTAGTTTTGGGCTTTTATGGATACAGTTGCTAAGAACATTCTTGTACATTACTTTTGGTGGACATAAGCATTGATTTCTCTTGGGTATATATAGATAGATTGCTGGATTTTAAGATATTTCTACCTCTATCTCTATATGCCTCTATGTATCTTTAACATATCTAACTCTTTTCCGAAGTGTCTAGTAGCATTCATATATGCTATACCATTCACATGTGCCTATATATGTTCTAGTTGCTTCACTTGGTATCATCAGTCGTTTTAATTTTAGTGGGGTACAGTACTTTTTTAAACTTAAAAATAAAACAAAGTAATAATATTTGAACTCTTTTTTGAAGCATAATCTTACCTAGAATTCCAATATAATACAGGTAAGAGTAGAGCTACTTGGTTGAGGCAGGTCTAATCTAGACTGTATTACCTCTTTAAGACTGAGTCCCAGCTCTCAAAAAGAGCTTACTGGGGGATAAGGCAGAAACATACAAAATCAATGTACTAGTATGTACCAAGTTATAGATATTCCATATTAGTTGAGATTCATGACGTAAAGTACTTCTGCCTTCCTATAGAAATTTTTATTCTGGGAAAATTGTTTAAAATAAGTATCTTAATATTTATTTTAGTATTATTTAGTACTCAAGTACTGAAAATATTTAGGCAGTCCTGAAGGCTTGAAGATGTCACCAGATGGCTCAGGTACATAGGCAGAAATTGTTGAAGATAGCTGTGAGGAAGGCCTTCACAATTCTACCTGTCTCATTGTGTTAACTGTGTAAGTTATGCTTTCCTTTGCTTGTCTTAGGAATTTCCAGTTATTTTTCAGTTAGGTTATCACCTCTTGTCTTCCTGGTCAATTCCCGTTACAGAAGAGTAGGAGGCATAGAGTAGTCACCTTCTAGCGTATGTCAAGGTTCTTCCATGAAATTATTTGGTAGAAGAAAGCATACTTTCATTCTGGGGTTGTCTAGGGGAATCTTCATTAGAGACTATTGTATATAAGCTAGGATTTTTTAAAACTGAAAGTAAAAGCAAAGTATTTAATGGGTGGGGAAGGGGTGAAAACACATTGCTTTGGCTGGCTGATAATTTAGCATTATTTCTACATTTAGGTTCAACTATAGAATTTTAGATATATTCATCCTTGATACTTTTAGGTAGTCATTTCAAGTCCAGTAGTAGCACTAGTTTCTCCAGTGACTGGTATTATAACTTTGATGTTTTGAATACTATGTTCTGTTTTAATAAATTATTCAACCTACAGTTCGACTTTTATTAAAGCCATGGTTTTGAATACAATGGCTTCAAAAAATAATGTAGAACTTACTTGTCTATCTCTTCCAAACTAATAGAAAGTAGAAATTGAAGCATTTCTAAATGTCTTTTGCCTTTATCTTTTAAGAAATGTTTACATAGAAAATTTGGGAAGAGTACATTTTAAGGAAAACACCTTATGCAAATAGGTATATTCCAGTAAAATTTTCCAAAATAACTGAATATGGAGTAGGATCTTGCTGATCAGTGAATGGTGTCTGCAGCTGAGTCCTACTCCTCAGATATTTTGAGTCAGAAATAGTTGAGTTTGAGGCTATTTACATTGACCTCTTCTCATGAATTGTGAAATTTTTGTGGAATTACAGTCATTTCTATCTGGGAACCATTAAGGAAGTTATGGGAGTATACAGAGTTGTTTCTGTTCTCATTAAGATACTATAAAAATTACTTGGAACAAATAAAAATCATAACAATAACAAAAAATCCACTGAGGTATGGTCAGGGATCACTGAAATAAAAAAGTAACCTATGACTAGTAAGCAAGTTTACTAGGCCAAAAGAGCAAAGCCAGAAAAACAAAACAATGTAATAGTAACTTTTAAACAAGAATCACAACTCTCAAAAAACTAAAAATAGAACTATAGACCCAGCAAGTCCACTTCCGGGAAATCACCAGAAGAAAACAAAATCACTAATCTGAAAAGATACAGGCACTTCTGTGTTGATTGCACCATTATTTACAATAACTAATATATACAAACAACTTAAATGTCCATCATCAGAAGAAAGGATAAAAAAGGTGTGATACATATATACAATGGAATATTACTCAGCTATAAAAAATGAAATCTTTATAAAGCTTATAAAAAGACAAATGAAATTTGTGACAATGTGGATGGAACTAGAGGGTATTATGCTAAATGAAATAAGTTCAAGAAAGACAAATACAATATGATTTTGCTTATATGTGGAATTTAAAACAAAACAAATAGAGTCGCAAATGCAAAGGATAGGTGGTTGCTGTAAGGGAATGGTGAAGGGGGAAAAATTAGTGATAATGTTTCATATCTTGATCTGGGTGATGGTTACATGAGTGTATACACATGTCAGAATACATTAAGCTAAGATTTTTTCATTTTATGTACTTCAGTAAAAATTTTTTTTAAAGATCATCACCACTACGATTCAGGCAGGAGTTATCTACTCTTAGAGAAGAAAAATTATACATGACTATTAAACACAAATAGGTTAGAATTAAAAATATAATAGCCATAGATTAGGTGTCTGCAAAAAAATAGATACAAAATAACAATAGTATGTACAAGAGTACACATAGGAACAAAATAACTGCTACTATGAAGCTTTTAATAAATAAAGCCAAGAAAAAAACTGGAAATCATATCCAGAGCAAAAGAAGATCACATAAATAGAAGAAAATAATGCAGAAAAGTTATTGGGAATGGAGATACTTTTAAGGAAGTGCAAAGAATGGTTATTTATTGAAGTTCAAATGCTAAATTTCTCTTTAGTTTCCAAAATAGAATTTAGTGTGGAAATTAACAATTTTAATAATACCTTACAGGATTAACAAAGAAGGGTAACATAATACCCACTTGAAATTTTTCTGAGATTTAAGGGTAACAAGAATATTGTGCACAACTTAAGAGAAAGGCTATATTCTTGCAAAT